TATGACAAACTGACAGACATGTGGGGATTCTAAACTTCATGGTAGTTTAATCTGTTAAATTTCCAATTATTCATTAATTTGATATTGGAGAAACTAGTGATAAGAAACTCTGGAAGGTAACAGAAAATTGAAAAATGCTCCCAAATCTCGATCAAGTCAGCTACAAGTGAAAAGTTGACTTGAGCTCATAATCAGGTATATTTTTTCTTAAGGTACAAACCCAATGCAAGTTATGATGTTCTACAAAGGAACATATATAAATGAAATCAGATTCCTCCAAAAAGAGGATATTTTTAAAATGCATTTGGAATGTTTAAATACACTTTGTGAATCATAACGGTTTTTTAAAATAAGAGTGAAGCTTGTAAATGATTTGAAAATCTTGCTAGCACTTTTCAGAGTTTTGACATAGGGTTTGATCTATTTTTTAACAGAGTGTGGGAAATATAGGACATATTTCCATATTTTGTACTAAATGAAGCTTCAGTCAACACTGAAATTATTTGACAAACTAGACACTTCAAAGGGCACACTAAAAATACTGGTTTCTAAAATGTTTGTACTAAAAACAGTTAGATTGAAATGTATGAACTCTGACCATGGGCAATAAAAAGGTGCCTAGGTTGACGTTAATAGATAAGGAGACTGATCGCATCTGCATGACCTGGATTAAGGCTTTCCAGCCCCCACACTTCCTTGCATTCTAAAAACAAAGCTCTTTTTCTTTAAAATGTAATCAATCACTTGGAATTATAAACTAGATGGCATTGAAATACAGTAACATAAATTAAGAAAAAAAAAAGTTGCCATGGAGTAGATTGACTCATGGTGGCACCATGTGTGTCAGAGCAGAACTGTGCTCCATGAGGCTTTCAATGACTGCGATTGATCTTTGGAAGTAAATCGCCAGGCCTTTCTTCTGAGATTCCTCTGGGTGAATTTGAACACCAACCTTTCAGTTAGTAGCCAAATGCTTAACTGTTTGTGCTGTCCAGAGACCCTAAGTATGTAGCATAAAGAAATTAAACTGCTTTTGAATTTGATGTAAACAGACACGGCTTTCTCTTGGGGGATTGAAGTTGGGAGACGTTGAAGGCAGCAGTGCAGTCTGCACCAGGTGAAGAATCGCGAGGTTTCACAGCGCGCGGTTTCTCTCGCAGGTGAGCGAGATGGAAGTGAATGGCCAGTTCGAGTCCGTGTGCGAATCCGTGTTCAGCGAACTGGAGTCGCAGGCAGTGGAAGCTCTGGACCTGCCCATGCCTGGCTGCTTCCGCATGCGGAGCCACAGCTACGTGCGGGCCATCGAGAAGGGCTGCTCCCAGGACGACGAGTGCGTGTCCCTGCGGTCCTCGTCCCCGCCTCGAACCACGACCACCGTGAGGACCATCCAGAGCAGCACAGGTGAGTGAGCGCGGTGCATGGCCCTTGGTGCCGCACCACCGCCAGCCAGGGCCTCTGCGCCCGGACAGGGCACAACGGCCTTGGAAATGTGCCCTCGCTGTTCTCACACGTAGTTGCCAGTACAAAGTACTTCTTATGCCCTAAAAATCAAGGTTCTGCTTCCCTGCCAGCCTCATCCCCACCCTCTGGCCACTTTCAGCACCCCCTGCTCTCTGTCCATCTCCATCTCCCCTGTACACGCAGGAGATTGCAACTACGGGACCACCAGGGAATAGCAAGGTGGGAGGTCTTTCGGAGATTCCCCGCACCCACCCCTAGCATCCTAGGACCAGCAAACGACCCCAATCAACTTTTACTCTCAGTAATTAGGCTCTGACTTTTAGGGGTGTGACCCCCAAAGGACCACATATCCTGCTTATTGAGCATGACAGAACTGGACGGTTTTTAATTCCAAGATATCCAAAAAGTGACTCTCCCAGAAGACCCATAGCAGTTGTAGTTGCTGTTGTTAGGTGCCCTGGAGTCGGTTCCGACTCATAGCGACCCTGTGTACAACAGAACGAAACACTATAGAGTCCTGTGCCATCCTCACGACCGCTGTTATGTTTGAGCCCATTGCTGCAGCCACTGCGTCAGTCTGTCTCCTTAAGGGTCTTTCTCTTCTTTGTCAACCCTCTGCTTTACCAAGCACGATGTCCTTCTCCAGGGACAGGTCCCTCCTGAAAGATCACTATGAATAAGAAAATAAGACGGAAGAAATGGATGATGCAGTAATGATGATTGAACATGTTTATGAGTTGTCTTTGATGGTAACAGAAGGCAGATTTATTTCATTACTTTAAAACTCTCTGTCATATAGATGCAGTGTCTCCTTTTCCCTCTAAACTGTATTTAGGTTTCTGTGGTGAAGCTGCATTTTTATCAGTAGATTTTGGCACTGAAAGCACAGATGAGCTTAGCTGGTTTCCATGACATTGAAGCCTGCCTAGGAGTATAGCCTTGAGTGATGTACAACAGTGTGAATGTTTATTTTTTTTCAAAAAACATTTTGATTCCAAGAAGAACCACCCCCATGTCTTAACTAGGCTTAACTTTATGATTGAATTCAGTGTGACTCCAGTACAGAGTAGTTTTACAAGAAGATCATCAACCTAGAGTCAAGATAAATAATGATGAATAAATAGGAAGAAAAGCCTGTGCCAGAATACTGTATTATTCGATTTTAGTTCCAGGCTCATTGAATGTCAGTAATTATCACTCAGACTAGACCTTCTGCAGGCTTGAAAATTAGTTGATCCTCAAATCTAAGTTAAATTCTGCTAATAGAGATTTGGAGGTGAGGTAGGAATTTAAGAAAGAAAGAAAGAAAAAATCATTAGAGTTTAAACAGCAAGAGTTCATTCCTGACCAGTGCAAACTACAATCTCAGGGTTAGGAAGGAAGGGATGCTTCTGGGCGCGACCCTGGCTGCTGGAAGCTCAGCAGCCACGACCCTACTTGCCCATCTCTAGGCCAGAGATAGTGGATGGACATTTTTGTTCATTAGCAAATTCTACAGTAGCATAAGCAAGTTTATTTAGGCTTGATTAATAGGTTAATGTATTAATAAATTAAACTGGTGAAGAAAAATATTTTTAAAAAACCATTCATGGGCATATTTCTGTCCATGTCTGTATCCCTGCATAAATGTAGTTTTGAAAGTCTGCCCTGTTCCTACTGCCTGTCACTGTGCCTTTGGTGTTTTGCTGTTTTCACTTCCCTCTACCCAACCCTGCCTGCCCTGCCCCTGTCTCCTCCTCAGCGCCCGCCACTGTGGTCTTCTGTGCCAAAAATATCCCTAAATACACACAACACAGATCCTTGCTGAGAAATGCAGAAGGGCGCACTCAGGTGACACAGTTGGGCTTCCCTCTGAGGGGGGGATCTTATGGATAAAGCGCTGAGGGACTTGGCGTGGCTCTTTCCTCCTCACCTCTCAGAGGATTTTGTGTTTTCGCCATTTAAGAAACAACATACTTACGCTGGAAACCCTGGTGGTGTAGTGGTTAAGTACTACAGCTGCTAACCGAAGGGTTGGCAGTTCAGATCCAGCAGGTGCTCCTTGGAAACTCTATGGCACCTTTCTACTCTGTCCTACAGGGTTACTATGAGTCAGAATTGACTCGATGGCAATGGGTTATACTTACACTTCCTCCCTCAGTTCTTGTCCCGTGCTCTGCGCTGCAACCACCCATGTCTGACCTCCCTAAGCTCCTTCCCAGATACTCTGGAGGTTCCTAGAGTTCGAATAGTAGGGTTGCCAGATGAAATATAGGATGCCTAGGTAAAGTTGAATTTCAGATAAATAATGATACTTTTGTAGTGTAAGCATAGCCCAAATATTGCACGGGACATACTATACTACAAAATTATTTGTTATCTGAAATTCAAACTTACCTGGGCATCCTGTATTTTTTATTTGCCAAATCTGGCAACCCTATCCCAGAAGGAGATGAGTAGGGCCTGGAAGTGTGTCCTTTGTTGTTCCCTTTAGAATCTAAATTGAATCTGAGTGGCATTAGCCAGATACCCCATGTGGGAAGACACCTGAAAATAGGGAGAAGTGAATGAAAACACCACGTAGACGACTGTGTCCACTCCTTCTTGGGCTCCAGGCACCTAGCCCTAAGCGCTGGGCCATGTCCACTGGCAGCTTTCTGGATGGGAAGTTCCAGGCCTGGCTGCAGATGCTAGAGCAGGAAGCTATCTATGACTTGCCCCTGGGGATGGTGAAGCATAAAATGCCAGGTTTTTTTGCACAGGACAGCTTTTGATATCACCCTTCATCATCAAACTAAACATTATGATATATGATCTTTACAGTGGTAGAAAAATCAACAGTTGAGGACTGAACCATAATAGCAGGTTCTGAGTAAGCCTGTCAGATATTTATCAGTGCAAATGTAAGAATTCCAGTATCGCCTGGCACAGTTTTTCTATGCCATAGATTTTTTCTTTAAAAAAGAAAACATTATTTTTAACATAATGAGTTTTTTGTGACATTCTACCCCTCCTACACACCACTCCTGTGTGCTGTGTATCTCTCCCTGTTCCCCTCCCTACCTCTGTCTCTCTCTCTCACATGCACACTCACGCATGCACGTTTTCCTTTTTCTTTTCCCTCTTACATGATCTGAAGACCGTCTTCATATTAATTTTCTTCTTCTATTGGTTTTCTTCTTACATTGAATCAAATATGACTTCCTGTAGAAATACAAAAAAGAAGTATTCTCACAAGACTTGCTAATTTTGGAAAGATGCATTCATCTATGGAAATCAGGAAATGGCTTTGCTCTAATTTTAACCATTTTCCCTTGTGTACACAGGTCAAATTTATATCTGTGTTTAGTAGGAGTTGAACTAGAATTTCTGCTTTCGCTTCTCTTCCCTTTTATTCTTGCATGCTCACAACTGATTCCATTTTTCCTAAACTTCCCCTTTTCCAGAGAAAACATTATTTTTGTCAACTGTAGATATTAGGTATAACTCTCACAGCAATCCACATTCTGTCTTTGATTCTTGTGTCAGCCCATTTTAATTGTTCACAGTGGAACAGAATACACTCACTGTTAAGCCTTTCCAGACTTGTCCATTCTTCATATTAGCAAAATGAAATCACCGATAGACAAAAGTCTGCAAGAGTGCCTGAGGCCCCAGGGGAGGCCATGAAGACAGGCCCAGCTCTAAGAGGCCCCAGGCATCCTCTAGCTATCACAGTGTGAAGGAACATTAGCAGAGGCTCAGCCAGCGAGTCAGGGCAAACCAGGAACTGAGCTAGAGAGTTCATTTCAGTGGTACCTTCTTTGATTTGCTGACTTTTTGCTGTATCTGACTATGATAGAATCTTATATTCTCTCAGTTCTAATCTACTTCAAGCACCCAGATGTCTCTCCATCTAATAGATTCAACAAATCTTTATGTGAATCATTGTACCTGGGACTATTAGGTTAAGATCAGAACTGCTCTAGGAAAGTGAAGCAATTATCCTAATGACAGTCGGAAATCAAACACCTTTTCCTCCATCATCAGAATATTTTAGATAAAAGAAGACCTAAGTGCCTGAAATATACCAGGCCTCCCCTTCATAGTATTGGATTAGACCTACCTCTGATGGAATATACCAATATAATTATATACATTTAAGGATAAGAAATTTTCTTTGAACTTACTACACTGAACATTTTTTAGGCTCTATCAAAAGCATTAGCACATTGTGCCAAGTCAGGCTTGTACGTAGTGATACAGGTAACCTGAATAGTCAAAAAATTGTATAAAATCATAGGTGGATGCACACCCGCAAAGGTACACAGACACATACTTGTAACTGTATAGAAAAAAATGTCAGAAATGGCACAAAATGAATTGTTTGCAAGTTAGCCCAATATGTGGTAGGTGAGGAGGATCAGGTGGTATGGAGAGAGGGAAATTTTTCAAATAAGCATTTATTGCTTTGTATAATTTTACAAGCCAATATAATATTTGATGAAAATAACATTCTTTGACAAAAATATCATGATATCATTATTTAAAAATAATTTTCACTTAGAAATTAGCAGGATTTCCACAAAAGCCATATGTAGTCATAAAGAATAAGAAGGCTTATTTTCTACACTGCTGGTCTTGAGCTGTGGCCTGTGTGTCATATTCTTTTCTTATTAGGGGGCTCTCTTAAAAGATGATCGAGTTGAACTGTTCGCCTTTCCTTGGTGTAGCTATCCAGGAAGGGGAATAGGGGACCCAAGTAAAGGGTCCCTGTGGGTGGGCAGGCAGTGTTTTCTAACCTAGGAATCAACAGCGTTTGCCCTTTGGGTGTGTCTTAGGCTGTGGTTACAGTTTAATTTTTCTAACAGGAGTGATCATATTTTCCCCTATATTTCACATGGTCTTCTGTATTCTTACTTTACAGTCTCCCAGCTCTGCCAAACTTACTCAAGTCTGGCTCCCTATAGCAAAAGCGGTTA